AATATTTCTAAATTGCGGTTATTTATTACTGTTGAAAGTGAAAATGGAAATTGTTTAATTGTGGGAAATTGTTGTATTAATTTTGTATAATTTGTTTCAACGGAATTTTGTCACTCACAAAATGAAGGATTAATTTATGAATATTTAAATTATTATATACACCCTTATATTTTATTTTTCGCAAATGTTTGTCACATTTTGTTATCTTTGTGGTATTATTGTGTGATTTATTAGCTATTGTTAATGTATATAAAGGCAATGCTCCCTGATAGGCATTACATTTATTTTCCCACAGCCAAATTCTTATCTACAGTACACATTAATAACCTACATTTGGAATCTGCATAGATAACTTGTATTCGTAAAAGTTCATTGCTTCAGATAATATTTGAATATTATAAATAACCAAAAAATGAAATACGAGGCTTTGCATATCCACCTGTTTAAACAGCATAAACATTTATTAGATTAACAACTTTCACATCGCTCGCACAAAGTGAAAAAAAAAACATCAAAGGCAAATGTGTCTCCTTAATAGCCACGTTTGTATCTTTAATTAATTCAATACGGCCTACATTTATAATGTAGTTCAAGGTCTAATTGAAGAAAGTGAAGAAAAAAAAATACTGAATGGAATTGCATTTACGTTGCGTATTAACGGATCACAGAAATGTTTTAGAATAAAACGCAAACGTAAACAAGACATTTATAGCAGAATTCTAAGATAATGCTGAATAAGGAGAATGAGAAGTGTAATAAAAAATGTGGGCAAGAAAAATAATTAAATTATAATCGGAGATTTTATAAAAAACTTATTTAATCATATATACATAAAAAATAAGAAACAAAGACCGCAATCCCAGTCGTTTATGTGGTATCCTACACAAAAATCGTGGACTTGACCTATTAAGGAAACAAGAGAATTATTTTATGGAAAAAATACAAAAGCCCTGAACTTTAACTTCTGTAAAGCTAAACCTTGAGCATGTATACAATCTCGTGATATTTACATTGTCTTGTGTGGAAATAGTAATATTAAAGCATATAAGAATGCGTAGACACGTTTACAATATTCAGCGTATCTCTCATATCCGTTCTTTCACATCAATAGCTTTGATATGAAAGATCAACTACGCCAAAAAATACGCCATAATATGCATATTGTGCAATTTTTCACACAAATGTCTTGGTCTATTTGACATGCTACGAATATTAATAACATCTTAGGGTATATATTTGGTTGATCATGTGCTAAACAGAAAGCCTAAAAATGAATATCCTTTAAAAAGGGGAAAAGGGAAGCTATATAATAAAAAAAACTGTTGCTGATATGAATCCTAATATTAGATTGGGGAAAATGAAATCCATTATTTTTTCGGGAGATGAATGTACTGATACGTTTTTCGTAAAGTATCGATCAAACAATTTCAAATTTATGCTCTTTGGAAAGGTGACATTTCGCAGTAAAAAAAAAAATAAAAAAATACTTTGCTGTTTTTTGTTTGGTGCATTCAGTTGTGATTTACAGGGTACTAAAAATGGAAGTGAACAAAGAGAAAATTCGGTGCATTTTAGAGTTTTTCTTTGACAAAGGCGAAAATGCAAGCCAAGCGGACAACGCTAGGCCACACACATCTACAGTGACTCGCCAGAAACTTCGAAAGCTTGGTTGGGTAGTTTTAATGCATCCGCCATACAGTCCGGACTTGGTACCAAGCGATTATCATACTTTTCTTTAATGATAAAAAATTGGTATTTAGGGATGATTGTGAAAATCGACTACTAAAGTTTTTTTTTTTTTTTTTTTGCAAATAGAGAGCAGTTAAACAAAGTCCTATAGAGAGCATGTTAAACAAAGTCCTATATTTCATATAAATATAATGGATTTCTTTTTCCTCAACCAAATATATTTACTTAAAATCTAAAAACTATATGAGGAGTATGTGAAGGGAGTCCAATCTCCATCTTTCAACAATAATGAAGGGAAGGTGAATCGAAATGCAATTTCATTGAGGAAAAACTTTTGGTGATTACTAAATATATCTGTATCAGTATAAAAAGGACTCAGAAGGACAATTTCGACAAATTTGATACATTCAAGAAATGCATCTTAACAGGCTTCCCATTTTTGAAGGACATGGAGTTTGACGAAGTTTAATATGTGAACCCACTTTAATCCATAAACATGTCATTCTGTAACATATGCAAAATTTCATTTCATTCAGCATTAATAAAATTTTTTGACCGATTTTTTTCATACTTCAGTACGATGCATACAATTTTGTGACAATCGGCCAATTTTTGTATCTTTAATAAAAATCAAACGAAAATACATATGGGAGCTATGTATAAATCTGAACGTGTTTCGACGAAACTTGAACGCAAAAGTCAGTACTTTGTGTGAATCGGTCTAATTTTGGTGCACCGTTGACTTCAAATCGGACGAAAATATATATGAGAGCTATATCTAAATTTGAACCGATTTCAACCGAACTTAACATACGTCCTTATAGAATCAATGCGGGCATTGACCGAAAGTCAATTTCTTTGACTTTGGTGGTAACTTTTCCGGAAATGCCAATATGATGATCGTATACAAAATAATATCTTTGTATGTGATTAAAAAATAGCCCACAGAGCCAAATTCACTAAAGGTAAAATTGTTACACCCTAAGCCTTAAGGCTAAGGAGGGCATATACTCTTGGACACGAAAACAAATGTGTCTCCCGCAAATACCAGTTTCAATACCAGTGAGTCGATCTAGACATGTGTGTCCATCCGCCTGCCCATTATAATTTGTAAACGGGATACAGGCCACAGTTATGGACCAATGGACACGACGAACGCTTTATTTTTGTCTGTTTTTTGCTCGCTCTAGAGACCATAAAAATGACCCGAACATCACAGAAAAGGGGATCGGCCAAAGAATAAGCGTGTCTGTTTTGATAAAGATCGGTCAATATTTAGCGGGTCAAATGGACTCTGACTTTTGCGTGAAAAGTGGAAATGTTTGCATTGTATGATGTATATATTTATTCCTGAAGCACATAGACCGGAGAATTTGACGATATATCCAAGAGGAGTAGTTGACCTTTAAACTGATACAGTCAAATGCATGTACTCGGATAAGGGATTATACATAAATATTTAAGATGGTCTACGTATAGGGCGGAAGTGTAGCCCTAAGGTCTAGGACATTTTTTTGGATGTGCCAGTTATGGTAAAGGACGATGCATGATCATTAAATGGTATTAAGGGAATTAAATATACAGAAATTATTTTCGTCGGGTTTTCTATTCGCTCTAGAAGCCACAATTACAACTACAATTGCATTTCTTATGTCTCTTATGTGTTTTATCTAGGTTTGAGACCGAGTAATTCTCTTTTTTAATTATGCATTTCTGGGTTTAAATTATTTGTTACCTTCTATAACATTTTTCAATTTGTTTGCTTTGCATCGAAATATTCCCCGGAGACCCAATTTAGAATATACATTCTTGATCAGAATATATTTCTCTTCCTACAAAAAATTATCTGTACACGTAATTTACTGTAATTTAGGGTTTCAGGTTCTTAAGGGGTAAAATACCAACTCGCATATTTTTATACCCTTCACCACACTGTGGTACAGGGTATTATGTCTTTGTGCATATGTTTGTAACCGGAAAAAGGAAACGAGATAGGCATATGGTTCCTTTTGAGAATATGCATAGAATCACTTTCTGAGTCGATTTGTGCGTGTCCGTCCATCCGTCTGTCCGTCTGTAGATGTTAAATTGTAAACAAAGTACAGGTCGCATTTATGATCCGATTTGGATGAAATTTGGCACAAGTCACTTATTTGGCCCAAGGACGAACCCTATTGAAATTGGGAAAAATCGGTTCAGATTTAGATATAGCTCCCATATATATTTTCGTCCGATTTAAGGTAAATGGGGCACCAAAGTCCCTCTATATCTCTCGATTGGCACGAAATTTGGCACAGAGTACTGAATTGGGTCCAGAATAATTTGTGCCAAGTTTCGAGAAAATCGGTTCAGATTTAGATATAGCTCCCATATATAGTTTCGTCCGATTTAAGGTAAATGGGTCTCCAAAGTCCCTATGTATCTTTCGATTTGCACGAAGGTTGCCATAGGGTACTGAATTGGATCCAGAATGATGTGTTAAAATCGGTTCAGATTTAGATATAGCTCCAATATATATTTTCGTCCGATTTAATGTAAATTGTGCACTAAAGAACCAAAGATTGGCCGAGCCGCACACAATTTTGTACAATGTACTGAAGTTACTATAACCTTTCGTGTGTCAAGTTTTCTTGAAATTGGTTCAGATTTACATATAGCCTCTATATATACTTTAAGTAAATGGTGTACTAAAGACCCATAGTTAGGTCGATTGGCAAAACGTACTGAAGTTAATATCGGCCAAGTTTCCTTGAAATTGGTTTAGATATAGAATAGCTTCCATATATAATTTCGACATATTTATGTTGATTGTAAACCAAATAATCAATGGGTGCTTGATTGATATTACATTTTAAACAGTGAAGTTTGCTTTAAGTCTATTTACAAAGTATGGAATAGATTGCAGAATGGCATGTTTAAGGATTGATGTTAGTCGGTTTACTTTTATATAAAGATCGCATTTTTAAGTTCGTTCAATTTCATGTCAATGTTCCTTCAAAAAGACGACATCTGTAAAGATACATATGTAGAATATCCCCAAAGTGGTGAAGGGTATAATATAGTTGGCCCAGTCCGACTTTACTACTTTCCTTACTGGTTTATATTGGTTCATGTTCTAATAATCCCTGTTTTGACCCATTTCTAGATAGGTAGAAGGCAATTGCCGCATTCTGTTACCAAAGTAGATGTACATCCAAGGGTATATTAAAGCTTCGGTTCTTTCATTATTCAAAAAAACATTCTTTCATTATTCAAACATTAATTTTTCTTCAAATAAATAAAAAGTCAACATAAATTTAATTTCCACTCACCTTAATTTTCTAACACGCATCACAGAAATAATAACAAGTAAATTTCCAAATATGGCGGCAATAATGATTATCAACATTACGGAAGCCTTCATTATCAATGCCAAATCGTCCAGCCAATCGCCACTCGAATCGGACATAGTGTCATTGCCACTGCCACCGCCGCCGGTATCATCTAGAAATGTTGAATTAACAGCGGCTGCTGCAGCAGCCAATGCTGATGTGGCAGTGGCCGCCGCTGCATTGTGTAAATATTGAGCGGCAGCAGCGGTGGTGTTATTGACGGACGTTGAAGCCTCTTCCAATTGCTGGGCCACCAGTGAGCCGTCTAGCAATGACATGGAATGCGGTACATCTGCATCGTAGGAAAGAAATGTGGAGAGCGCAGGAGCAGGTGGTGGCGGTTGTACTGAGTTATGTGATGATGATGATCGTGTGGCATGGGCAGCAGCAGCACCGGCAACAGCAGTTATGCTATTGGCGGCATAACAAAATGTGGCAGCCAGTGTGGTGGCTAGACATTTTGTTGTTGTACTTTTTCTTGTGGTTGCATTGCTGGTGGTGGTGGTGGAGGTGATGGGGGTTGCTGGAAGTTTATGTGAATTTGTTGTTTCTGTTGTTGAGGAAGTCTCTGTCTCAAATGCCAATGGTGTTGATGTTGTTGTTACTGCTGCTGCTGATGATGAGGGTGCTGTTGTGGAGTATGCTGCAGGTATTTGGTTTGCTATTAAATCTTTGGTTTTCGTTGACGCCGACCTACAATGGTGATGATGATGATGCCGCCTTATTCGATGTAAGACATTTTGTTTGAATGTTTTGCTGGTTGCTGCATCACCATTTTCGACCTCCACCACCTCCTCTGGCCCATGGCAAACCTCCACCGCCCTTGTTGTTCCTGGTGGCTTTGGTGGGGCCAAAGTTGTCGTTGTATCGTTCCCATGTAATGCTATTGCTTGGCTTGTAGTCTCTGTTGTAGTGTTGTAGTAGTTTATGTTGTTGTTACTGTTGTTGTAGTGTGTAAATGAGTTGTGGGGATTTTTAAATTTTGTAGACATTACAAATATTTTTATTATTTTGGTTTCTCAATTTTTTATGATTATTTTGATAAGATTTTTTTTGATTTGGGGTTTCTTAAAAAAATTAATATTTTTTTAAAATTATTTTAAATTTTTGGTTTCTTAAATTATTTTTAATTTATTTATTATTTATTTTTTTTGGTTTTATTTTCTTCACTGTTTTCTTTTGTTTATTATTATCTCTCACTATTTTCGTTTTGCATTTCACATTTTCACTTTCCCTTTTGGTTGTTTTGCTATTGGTTTCGTAGTGAAAATCTGCAATTATTTTTATTTTATTTTTCCATACACTTGTCGAGGTAGGTACACCTTTTGTAACCACTTTTTTTATTTTTTTTCGGATCACGTTGCTAAAATTTTGTAGCTGGGGAAAAACACACGCGCGCGTTTATCTGTTTTTATGCCATCCGACGTCGACGACTGAGGACACGATTTCAAAATTTTTTTATTCAAAGTCTTAATTTTCCAAAAAATGATGAAGACAATAAACGTTCACCACCACCGAAAGTGAAAAACTCTGCGATTTTTTGCTTTTCATTTTGGGTATGCGGTGCCAAGAGATGTCTCTCTAATGCTTTTTGTTTTTTTTTTCTATTTCTACACTGTTTTTGTATTGTTGTTGTATTTGTTTACTTATATTCGATTCGATATTTGTTTTTTTATTTTAAAATATTATTTTTTTCAAAATTTCAAACATTTATTTTTTTGATTATATATTTTTGAGGTGGCGTTGTTCTTTATGATTGTATTATGGTTGTTGTTGTTCTTGTTGCTGTTGTAGTTGTTTTTGTATTGGCTATGGCTAATGCCATTGATTGGAGAAATTTCCCTCATCGTGTTGTGCTGTGTTGATGTGGATGATGTTGTTGCTGAGAATGATGGTCGAGGTTGCGGTCACACCGCTCAACGACATAGCTCGTGCTGATATTGGGGCTAGAGTGGCGTGGGCTGGTGTATGTTCCGTTTTTATTTTTTTGCTTCTTCTTTCTTTGTAGCAAAAATAAAAACAAAAAATATATTTTTTTTCAATTTTATTTTATTTATTTCACTCTCAAAAGTCGTTGTATTTCTAATTTAAATATTTTCGTTAATTGTTGTTGCTGCTCTTGATTTTATTCTATTTTCAATTTTTTTTTGTGTTGATTCTTATTTAAATTTTGTTTTTGTTTGCTTTTTTTAAATTTATTTTCAGTTCAGTTTTCTTCTTTTTCACACTACTTGTGTTAGTCTAAATTAAAATTTTAATTCTTTTGCTTAATTGTTGTTCCTGCTGTTGGTGCTGTCGATGCTCTTGTAGTTTTATTTCCGTTGGTGTTGCCATTATGCGCTAAAATAGAAAACAAGAAAAGAAAAAAATAACAAATAAATAAATTAAATTGTTTTTTGTTAACAACATTTGTGTATGTCGTCGTTGTATGTTTGTTATGCCGGCAACAGGGTGTTCAACAATTTGATTTTGATTTTGATTTTTTTTCTGTACAGGCTAGATTATTATTCGGGTTAATAAACCAATTGTTTATAATTTGTAAATAATTGCTGAAACAAATTAAGTTGATCGCATTGTTTTGCTATATATACTCACTGCACTGTGGGACGAATTTGGTAAAAAAAATTATTTTAATTTAATTATTAAATATTTTCAATAAACTTAACTTATAAAATATTTATGAAATCATAAAATATTTCTATAAAATTAAAAAAAAATGCACGCATATTAGCTAACAAATTGCAAATATTTAAAATTGTTCTTGCAAAAAAGTGAAATATAGGTCAAGATTTTTAGAGGAACCATAAAGTACCCAATTTGACAATTTACAGCCAAATCAGATGTGGGGTCCATAAGGAATGATAAATGGCAAATAATAACAAAATCCATTAGAGGATATTGCTAAAGTTATGAATTTGAATATTATATAAAATCCCCATTTTTTATTTGTCATTCCATTTCCAACACACCGATTATTCACCAAAGATTATATTATTGATCAGAATAAAATTCTATGTGTCCGTATGTCTGCCTGTTTAAATCACAATAAAACCAGTAAGGATAGTTTCAATGTCGGAGTTTCATGCAAAGCGAATAGACATAGGCTCCTCCATTTGCAAAGTTTGCATAAAATCACACAAAATATATGTGGGAGCTATCGGAATCTACATCTGAACCGATTTCAACAATAAAATATCGTTCAAATAGAACAGGATCTGTGGTGCTCCGTTTTCACAAAATCGGACGAAACTATGTATGAGAGCTATATCTAAAACTGAACCAATTCCAACGAAACTTCGCATACAGTAATCAGGACCTAATTCTGAACTCTCTACAAAATTTTGTCTTAATCGGACGAAACCATACATTCGAGCTATATCTAAATCTGAACCGATTTCAACAAAACTTCACGGACATCAATCAGAAGATATGTCAGTACTCTGTGCATAATTGTGTCTCAATCAAACCAATATTGGGAGTTCATCGAAATCAGATTGTAAATGCAACCTGTACTTTAATGAGGAAAGTAGTAAAGTCGGACTGCGCCGACTATATGATACCCTTCACCACTTTGGGTACATATGTATCCAAAAAGACGTCGCCTTTTTGAAGGAATTTTGACATGAAATTGAATGAACTTAAATATGTGATTTTTATATCTTTCTGGAACCTATGCTAAATTTCATTTCATTTGGGCAAGTTTAGAGTCGTTTGCGCACAGTGGGACATATTTGTGAAAATCGATTTAAAGCAAACTTGACACACGCTATTCGGTGTGCTGCACTGTTTAAAATTTAATCTCAATAAATAAGTTTGGTCCACCATTAACCTAAAATCGGTCGAAACTATATATGGAAGCTATATCTAAATCTGAACCAATTTTCAGGAAACTTAGCACACATCATTCTAGACCTAATTCGTGCAAACCGAAAGATATATAGGGACTTTGGTACCCCATTTACCTTAAATCGGACAAAAATATATATGGGAGCTATATCTAAATCTGAACCGATTTTCACGAAACTTACCACACATCATTCTAGACCTTATTCAGTAGGCTATACCAAATTTCGTGCCAATCGAAAGATATATAGGGACATTGGTACACCATTTACCTTAAATCGGGTGAAACTATGTATGGGAGCTATATCTAAATCTGAACCGATTTTCACGAAACCTAGCACACGTCATTCTTGACTCACTTCAATACGCTATGCCAAAATTTGTGTAAATCAAATGATTTTCAGGGACTTTGGTGCACCATTTACCTAAAATAGGGCGAAACTATATATGGGAGCTATATCTAAATCTGAACCGATTTTCACGAAACTTGGCACACATCATTCTAGACCAAAATCAGTGGGCTGTATCAAATTTCGTGCAAATCGAAAGATATTTAGGTACTTTGGTACCTCATTTACCTTAAATCGGACGAAAATATTTATGGGAGCTAGATCTAAATCTGGACCGATTTTTCCCAATTTCAATAGGGTTCGTACTTGGGCCAAACCAATTAACTGTTCCAAATTTCATCAAATTCGGATCATAAATGTGACCTGTACTTTGTTTTCAATTTAAAGTCGACAGACGGACGGACGGACATGCATAAATCGACTCAGAAAGTGATACTATGCATATTCTCAAAAGGAACCATGGGTCTATCTCGATTATTTTTGCATGTTACAAACATATGCACAAACACATAATACCCTGTACCACAGTGTGGTGAAGGGCATAAAAAGTAAAAATTGTCATTTGGTATTGCCGACAGATATATACCCTCAGCCTATGGCTTCGTAGAGGTCTTCGGGTCCCACTTTGGGAATTTATCTGTGCTTTGTAAAGATAATAGATTTTGCAAAGTTTCGTTCAATTCTAGCATTATTTTTGCATGGTATAGGATTTGTAAATATTGAACAATTTAAGCATTTGTGGAAAAAGTACCAGAAGGAGTAAACCAATGGGTCCCATCTTCGGACTTGATTTAGGCTTGGTGAAGATAATAGTTTGTAGAAAGTTTGATTCAAATCGGACATTCAATTTATTTGATATTGTATTTATAAATATTGTAAATGTTGACCATATGTGGGGAAGGTACGCAATGGAGTGGACTCAAAGTGTATATACCCTCATTAGCCATAAGGCTGAGGGTATAAAAACAATTTAGTTGAAAATCGAGCCATGATTACATGGCGACTGCTTCATGAAGGCTTCTGTAAAAAATCGATAAACGAACAAGAGTAGACGGGTGGGTCAACGGCTCATTAAAAAATGTCTGTAAATATATTTACAACACACACAGAAAAAAAGTGTACAGATCGCTTAATATGGAGGATATACCTAGTTAAGTGGCAAT